GAATGAAACTCCTAAAGATGAATCCAATAAATATTGAGACAAGTCCAAAGCCAGAAAGCTAAGATGCATTAAAAACTATTATTTCTAACTTTCAATCGAGTATTATTTCTCGTCTCAAGTATGTTCATGTGCGGCTTTTGGAACTTTGTTTTTTGAAGGGGCTTATGTTTATTAGCTGTCACATAATTCAAATTGTACTCTTTTTGTTTTTCTGAATCTCATGTGTCCGCAGCTCTGCACACGCTCTGTCTGTTAACATAATGGTGTTCTGGCATTTGTGCATATCACATTGGTTAATTGACTAACAAGTGTGTGCCTCATCGTGTGTGCTACAGTATCTGCAAAGCGTTCTTGTTTTATCAGTGCGCATGCGCGTAATTTGCAGGTGGTTGATTTGAGTCGTTTTAATCATCTTGTGTGGATTGGAGTTGAATAATGTGATGAAAATCCTTTGCATGTAAAAAGTTGCAGTCATGGGCTATACGGCCGTCGGTGTGTGTGCGTGTGCGCGTGTTCGTGCTCTCTCCCATCTTTTTTTTTCCTGCAGCAGGTGTTCATTTATAGTGTGTCAGAGACGGCGGGGCGAAGATCTTCCAAAGTTAATATTGTGTTTCCAGAGATGATGGGGAGTTCACTGTCCTCGCTTTATTTACACATTCTAAATTAATTAAGCGAAGGATTCCTCTGTCTGTTGCAAAAACACGGAGGGGGGGCAGCGAGGAGGGGGGGGGGGGGAGAGAGGCTGTGATTTATAGCGGCGATGCTGCTCCTCTCCTCCAGACCGGACCGGCCAACATTCCTCTGCACACACACACACACACACACACACACACACACACACACACACACACACACACACACACACACACACACACACACACACACACACACACACACACACACACACACACACACACACACACACACACAGAGGAATAAGAGAGAAAGGAGTGATGAGATATAGTCCTTTTTTTACAGAAAAGTGAGAAAAGCAGCTTATATGGCTTAAGATTGTGGGCGTATGAAGGTGGGACTTTGTGCACAAGTGGAGCTATGGGTTTGTTTTAATCTAAAAACGGAAAATGTTAGTTGTTTGTTTTCATTATTAATAGGCCCACACTCCCTAAATGTAGCCCAGATTTACAGCAGTTTCCAGTTGAACAGACATCTCTGGACTGGTGTTTGGGCTTTAAGAAAGTTGAGGCATAAGGTTCAGATCAAACATATAAATATAAAAAAATATTTAAAAACGGCTTTTGTCCCTGATCCACTGAAAATATAAAAAGCTGTAATAATAATATAGAATTCAGTTTTTTAGCAGCACCTGCATGAGTGGCCTTTGCAGCATCCTATTTTATCATATAAGATTTTTTTAAATACTGAAATATTCAAGGGGGCTAAAACCCTAAACGATTTATCGTATGTGTCCATGTTTAATCCCACTTAATTAATGATGCTTCTCTGTGCCACTAAAGCGCACATAAATAAATACATCCTTTGGCCAATGTGTACTTGAGGCAGATACAACTATAGGCCTACATTCGTAGCTTAAACAATTGAGGACATATGCCTATTGTATTACATATTTGGGAAAGAATGGCTTTCAACAGTTTTGTTTACGAGCGTGACCTTGAGGAATAGTACATCTCTTTCACACACACACACACACACACACACACACACACACACACACACACACACACACACACACACACACACACACACACACACACACACACACACACACACAGTGTCAGCAGCCTCTGTCCTTGAAGACACAGTGCAGTGTATCGATCAGAGACGTTCCGTTATTGGCAGCATGGCAGAGGGAAGATTTAACCAAAACGATTTCATTTAATCCCCTGCTGTCACACGCTGTTTGACACGAGACCCTATAACGATAATTTGATGATGATAATAATGATAACAATAACACGATCTGTCATTCCTAGGACTTTATCGCAATAGATGAGAGAAATATATATGTTAAATAAAGATAATCTACTTTAATGTTGATATTTAAGCAGAGGGGGAAAGTAACTAAATGTACTCCAGTACAATTTTAAGGTAGGCCTATTTGATGCTATTTAATAGCCTACTTTTTCTCCACTACATTTATTCGACAACACTAGTTTGTTTCTTTGTTTAGATAAATAATACAAAATATAAATCTAGTAATAGATTATGATGTAATATTATTCATATGAATGCAGTATACAAATGATTCATGTACGCTCCTCCGTTATTAGCTGCTAAATTAAAGGTTGGATACATTAGGCTAATGGGTCACTATCACTAAGTATGATTGAGTGATATAACATGAAATGGTAATTCTGCAAAACGAGCCCTTTATTTTTGGGTGCTAATATTTGTGTAATTTTACTTATTTTTGAATGCAGGACTGAATTCGTACCTCGTGGTATTACTCATTTTACTGAACTAAAAGATCTAAGCTCTTCTTCCTCCTCTGTATTTACGTCCATAAATACATTACAGCGGCACGAGTTTAAATCCGCTTATTTCCAAGCAGGACATATGGGAACAGTTACGCGGAGATGGGAACTGGCTCGAAATGAATAAATGTGTTTTTGCTGACTGTCGAGTCATTTGGCTGTCACTTCACATATCACTCGCTCATTATGTCGCTTGAGAAAACGTCACGTAAAATGACGGATGTCGTGATCCCTAAATAAAGACACGCTGAAGCTGTGTGTGGTCCTAAAGTGACATCCTATAGGGAAACAAGGATCCTTCTGAGGGGTGGATATATGAGATCATATCAGGACGAACATGGAGAAATTAAAAAGGCGTTTGAAATATGCGTGCAGTGTTTGTGGTTTAAAGCCATGAGGTGGGAGAAGTACTCAGATCTTAAGTAAAAGTAGAAATACCAAAGTGTAGAAATACTCTGTTACAAGTAAAAGTCCTGCATTCAAAATGTTCAGGTAGAAGTAGAAAATAATTGGCATGTAAATATACTTAAAGTACCAAAAGTAAAAGAACTCACTATGCAGATTGGCCCATTTCAGAATAATTTACAGTATGTTTTGATTATAATTATTGATGCATTGATGTGTTTATCAAAGCTGGTATACGGTGCAGCTAATTTTAATTGTTTTTATTTACTGCAGGGTATCTTGTAGATTGAATCCAGGTGTAACAAAAGTCTTATTTAAGTGTTGCACATATTGTTATCATTAATCTATACGTGCAAAGTAACTACACTATAAATGTAGGCTAGATGTACTAAGTACATGATTTACCTCTGAATTGTAGTGGAGTAGAAATAACATAAAATGGAAATACTAAAGTTAAGTACAAGTACCTCAACATTTTACTTGAGTAAATACACTTGGTTACTTAACACCACTGTTTAAAGCAAGAAGTCCCAGGTCTATTATGGTCTGTAATCTGAGAGATGGACAGCATTGGTGCGTAAAAGAGCTGAAAAGCTGTAAAAAGAAAATGGGTTCAGTCTCAAATCGTCCATTTGCTAAGCCGGTGCATCCTCGTAGATCTTGTGTGTGTGCGTAATGCTTTGTGTCCCATGATTTTTTATTGGCTTACTTTTCGTTCCTGCCGTTATTTAAATGGTTTTTAACCACCTCTGCAAACGCTTCATGTGGATTTTAATGGACTGATGCGGTGCGTAATGACTCCCTGTCAGAGCGAGTGTGCACAGAAAACTTCAATGGGCTACTAATGTTTTTTTCCACCTCATTTACTCTGCAAATTATATATGCAGGATATCAATTAACAGCACGGATACAGCGGGAGAAGCTCTATAATCAGAATTATTCCTTAAATCCGTACGTGATATTTATCAATTGGCCAATTTGCACCTACAGGGAAAGAAAAAGAGAGGACATAAAGGGGCTCTGGATAAAGAAAGTAGTCATGTGTTGGTTTTCGTTTCAAAGACTTGAGCTGAGGGAAAACAGAGTCAGCCCTCCCACCCTTCATCCTTAATAATCATCTGTCAAAACACCCACAAACTAATTTAACCATTTGCACACAGATCTGGTAAATAAAGGAGGCTTTACATGCCCTTCTGTCTGGAAACATGTGCTCCAACAACTCTGAAAAAGACCAATAGGCCTGTTTTCTGTGGCCGGCCGAGTCCCACTGCTTCCTTTATTTGGATCCCGAGACAACACAGATGACATGAAAGCGGAGCAAACCGAGAGCCTTTAGAGAAGATTGCTTTTCAGGCTCCAAATGTGTGTGGCTGGTCTCACAGGGGACCGCTCGCTGTGCGCACATTCACTCCTGTGGGCCAGGGGTCCGCACTGACAACATCAACAAACGACCCAAAAAGCCGCATTATGGTGGATTAGGAGCCTGATGAAAAATGCTGCTACAAATTGGCAACGAAAGCCCCAAAAGACCGTGGGTATATCCTTGTTCACTTTCAATTACAGACCGCCGAGGCCTGCTAACGTGCCCATTCATTTAGGGCCTTTGTAACACGCAGGGAAAATGGTCCTTAACAAGCGAGCGAAGGAGCCACACAAGAGGAATACTTGCGCACTGTTGCGTGATATTCATTGCTGTTTGTCGAGTTTTAAATATTTAAACTGGATTTTGTGCGGATTTCACACCTTAAAAGAGTCCTAATTAACTGCACTACTGAGAGATGGATGTTTTTCGTCTGTTTATAGCCCTAATTGGTTAGTTTCCACACATGCATTCATTATATTAAGAAGCTGTATGATTAGAACAAAAATAAATATTTAGATTACCTTAATGTGCAAAATGCACATGTATCATATTAGAAACATCGTTTTAATCCAAGGAAACTCAATCATATTTTATAAAAAAGTAATAAAAAAGCCTAATATTTATAATGAAGGAACCTCTTCAATTAATTTGTAATATTTTAACTTTTTTCAAAATCAGAGAAACATATTTATTTTAAATACACTTTTTTTGTTACTTTCAATTTAACCTGGCTCATTAACTTCCAACGCAATAAAAAATAACGATTTTTCTTTTCCTTTCTTTTCAAATTCACAAACATTTATTATTCTTGTCATTACAACAACAAAAAATGACCTATGAACATTTAGGTGTCTCTCTCTATTGGCAACACATGACATACTGTATGTTTCACAGAGTAAAGTGTGAGATACGAACAACAATTAAAAGATTGAGAGGTAATGGGCTCTTTTATATCAAAAAAACACATAGCCTACGTGTCCACCGACAACATGAAATGATCACAAATTCACTGTGAGGAGATCCAGGGGAGAAGGGGAGGGGGGGGGGCTGATAGTGGGAAATTGATATTTTTGTGTCAGAAACCCCCCCCCCTTTTGTCTCCATGTGCTTTCTAAGTAAAACCTGAGTTCGCCGTCTCTGTCAGCCTATCAACAACAACAGTGCCATGTTCTCACGACGCACGAAATAAAAACAATATAAATCATAATAAAATTCTCAATTATATTTTCAAAAAGCCGGAAATCATCCTCTTTAGCCATGGTTGACACATATGTTAAAATAACAGGATCTATTTTCTCCCACTGACAAATGGAGGCCAGATTACAGGCCAGTTAAAAAGAGCCTCCTCCGAGTTTCTCTTGCTTTTGTCTCTGAATATTATACACATATTTACAAACCATAAATAAACCTCTCCTTTTTTCATTGTTAGGAAATGTGGAGAGCCAAAAACATTCTTTTTTTTTTACCAACAATATACAGCCTACCTTCACTTAAGACGACGCCACAATTTGGCATTTTAATAAATTCATTCTTGACATTTTTTTGTTTCTTTTTAGAAAGGACAAGTGTTCATATTGGGGTTTTTGCTGGAAAATGTCTGTGGCCCTGGTTGTAATATGCTGTCCTGTGAAAGGGTCAAATGGTTTGAAGCAGAGGCCAGTGCTGGGGTGAGGATAGCCAGGATCTGAGCCTGGCTGCCCGGCGGCGCGCTGTAGGAAGAGGCGGTGGAGTGGGCCGCACCGATGATATTGTCAATGGAGAAAGAAGGCCGACTCGGGGCGCTGGAGTCCGTCTTGAGAGGCGGCAGGGACGGGCTGAGCTGAGAGTAAAAGGGCTTTCTTAAATCTGCCCCTAAAAGAGAGGGAAGGTGATGCGGGGCTTGGAATATGGAGGCTGATGAGGGCAAGGTGCAGTGGGCGTTGGGGAACGGGAATGAGCCACCTGTGTGGTGGTGCGGGTGATACGGGTTGTGGGCTGCGTGGAAGTTCTGCAGCTGGATTCCATAGTTGTATCCGTACGGGCTGTATCCAAACCCGGGTAGGAAGCCAGCAGCCTCCCGGAGAATTTCGTTAGCATGGTGCCTCTTGAAGCGCTTCCTCCTGCGCAAGAAGCTCCCGTTGTCGAACATGTCTGCAGAATCCGGGTCGAGAGTCCAGTAGTTGCCCTTCCCGGGGTTGCCTGGTTCTCGTGGGATTTTCACAAAGCAGTCGTTTAGGGACAGGTTGTGGCGGATGGAGTTTTGCCACGCGGGGAATTTCTCCCGGTAGTAGGGGAATCTGCTGCTGATGAACTCGCAGATCTCGCTGAGAGTGAGGCGCTTCTTGGGGCTCTGCAGGATGGACATGGTGATCAGGGCGATGTAAGAGTAAGGGGGCTTCACAAGTGCGTTTTTTCTGGATTTGTCCCCTATTGCAGTGCCGACCTCTGCGCCGGAGCCTATCTGGTCTGACGGACAGTCGGAGCTGCTGAGCCCGGGAGAGGAAGCCCTCTCGGCCGCGTTCTGGGAGTAATTATCGTCCGAGTCATTGTCAAACTCATCGTGGATGTACTTTCCGTCTTTTCCCACGGATATGTCACCCCCAACCACGTCGATGTCCAAATCTTCGGACAATGCAGAGCTGTCGGACATATCCGTCCCTAAAGTCATCCTCGGAGACGCCGCTTCTCTTTCCCCTCTCTCCCAGATTTCCCTCCTCTGGTCCGGCGAGGAACTGACTCTCCCTCTCCCCCCTCACAACCACACCAGAGTTTTGCTGCAGTTTTATCTCCAACTACTGAATGCACACATGGCTAGAATCTATTGAAAAGATAAAGAACTCTTTGACCTGCAGTGGATTTGGAGAGTCCTGGTCGTCCGGGGCTTGTCAAGCAGGGCCGAGAAACTTCTGACTTTCAGCCGTAAAAAACAACAGTCAAAGTTCATCGGTCTTCCTCCAATCTGGATTCGTGTTTTCTTGAAATGCGATTGTTTCCGTCTGTGATCAGTTTATGCGGTAGCTCGTTTGGAAAAAGCTTCTTTTGGATATCCTAACTGTCTTTCCAAAATATATTTTACGCACGGGGTTGGGTAGGTATCCAGACAGACTATCACACTATCCTCCTTAGCTCTCAAAGGGTATTTATAGGAGCACGCTGATCACGTGGTCTTTGAGTCACTGTTACCAGGAACTGGAGCAAATTGCCCTGCAGAAAGTGATATTCTGATCTTCTCCTGAATCTAAAAACACATTTCGTTAAAACAAAAACTAATAAAGAGATCCAGAATACATTTAATTTAATACATTTTTCGTATGCATATGGATTCATTAGAATTGGAGATCAACCTTATCTAGCCTACTGTAATTGATCAATTAATGTATTTATTCATATAAATCATTGCCCAAATAATTTTAGAATATTAATTACAAATATTTAATACACTGTTTTCCTCTGACAAACCAACGAATTGAATAATTTCAAATGCTGTTTTATTTCTAAACTTGAGGTTGCATGAGTCAATTAAAATGGCTTTTTCCTTTTTTCTGCAGGGTATAGTGAGCAATATCTGCTGCGATCACTTTTTTATGAAAATCCTACCAATTCTTTAGAACATAATAGAAATGTATTGAGAATCAAATGAAATCTCCCATTTGTTTTAAATATAAGCCAAATTAAATTATAAAATATCTGAAAAATAAACTCCTCACAACATGAAAGGGAGAGCCTGAAATAAAATTACTATCATTATGATAATGATCAATTTGATTATATTTACTATTATTAGTGATAGTAAATGTATCATCATTGTATTTCTGTTGCTTTTCAAACGCAATGTTGTTGCGGAAATGAAATATATCATGTTTTTGCCTATAATCTGTAAAATAAAGCCTATAATAAATATGAAATTATCCCTAAAATAACTATTTGTATTGACTTTTAACAAATATTTAAATGTCAGTTTAGATAGTTAGATCTCCTACATTAGCATTTGTTTCATTCATGACATGAACACACTCGTAACTCTTCTCTGTCCCTAATAAATGGTCTGATTTTATCCCTAAATCCCCCTCAGAGATTTTGGCCAGCCTCCTGACTCCCGGGTCACTTCTCACGGGTTTTGTGTTTTCCTTGTCAAGAAGTCACAACACTATCCGTCTGCATTTTCTGCATAATTCCCCGCGTACACAGTCAGCTGCAACAACCTGCTCCAATCCGTCTTCGTCAGGAGTGAAAGGGCCAGCAGATGACAATGTGTAAAGTGTGTGTGTTATTCAGAGCAGACTCACATTCCAGTTCATTACGCTGCAGAAACACCGAGTTATTGTAATGCATTTACATCAGCACCCCATTCATCTTAAAGTCAAACAACAGCTTGTCAGGGGACTGGGAGTTTTATTCTGGAGTCCAGAGCAATTGTACATGTTTGCATTTATTGAAGGAAAATACTTCCCCTGAGGAATCAAGTGCAAGTTAAGCATGGAACTTGTTAAAAAGAAGCCCTGACTGAACCCTGTGTCCTCCTGCCTGACCTGCCTGTCGCGAGCCTTTTACAATCTGAAATAGACGCACTGACAGCTGCCACACACACACACACACACACACACACACACACACACACACACACACACACACACACACACACACACACACACACACACACACACACACACACACACACACACACACACACTACTTTCCCCATGCATCACAAGCAGCCATATATTAAAGAATATACATGTCTCCACATTTTTGGAGACATGGGATAAAAAACAGTTCCCAGGTATTTTATTTGGTTGGAGTAATCTCTTTGTTTTCCCCACTGTCTATAATCCGGGTGGCTAGACTTGTTGAATTATAATTCACTCTTTTGGAATATCTTTAAATATCTATAACCACTATATGATGTGACAAATAATCAATAAAATATTCATAATATATAAATACATCATATAACAAAATTATATTCCTATTTTCATTTACAGCACCTTAATTATTAGGGTACTTCTTTAAAAAAAAAAAAAAAAACAGTTCCACAGCGTACCACACATTTATTCGTTAAAGCTTGTTGTGAAATTTGGCTCGAAATGCATTATTTGATCGATCAGAGAGTTCATTAAATGTAATAAACGACTAAACATGTGCTGTGGGATATTTAATTTTTTATTAAGTTTCCAGAGGTTCAGTGGCTCTTTGGCTCTTATGATCCGTGATGTGGAGCTCTCCAGTTCTTTGGTGTTGGAGCGCCCTCTGCTGGTAGTGGAGAAAATAGGTCCTGACAGTGATGGCTGTTGTGATGACAGTAAACGCCAGTGTGTTAAACATGGGCATAAAACATTCAAGGCAATTTACTGTTAATACAAAGTAGTAGCACCATGTCAATAGGACAATACTTTAACAGAATATAATGTATATGTCATTTAGTTTTTAAATTGTGTGATGTATGTAATCACGAAAACTGAAATGTGCATTTTGATGTAATTTGCTTCTGGACTAGGGCTTCAAATTAAGTGGGCCAGTGGTGGAGGAAGAACTCAGATCTCACCTTAAGTAAGTTTGTTTGTTTGTACTAACGCCACACTGTAAATATACTGTGGAACAAGTGAAAGCCCTACAAACAAAATGTTTAAAGTATGGAATAATTAGGAAAATGTACCTAAGGTATTTAATTGAAAAATACTCAATACAAAGACATTTCTAATTTAACTGCTATAATGGCCATACATTTATTTAAAAGCAGGATTTTACTGTCTTTATCTGAGGTGATGCTCATTTTAAGGGATCACCTGCAACTTAGCATACAATTTAATCATCGATAAATGAATTATTCTTTCCATTGATCAATTTAAGATTTGTTTGTGATAATCTTAATGTGACTAGTATAAATGTCACATGGTTGCAGTGGGGTAAAAAGTACAGAATTGCTCCGACAAGTAGTGCAGTCTGTGGCATGTAAACAAAAGACTAAAGCAAAGTATCTCAAATGTGTAGAATTTGATAGTACAGTACTTGGCGGCAGACTGATTCAATTCCATGTGACAGTACATTATATTAAATAACACCATTTCAAAAATACTTTTATTTCAGTATGAGAAACCAAAGCAGATGTAGAGCCTACCTTTCACTTTTATTCAAATTCTACAGCTGCCTCTTTGCATAAAGTTATAGTCAAGAACAGTTGAATCAGTCTACCTGATTGTAGATATACAAAATAGCATTTTGAGCATACACAGGGAATTACTATCTGCACTTACTGAAGCATTAATTACCTGCTAAATGAAAGCAGAATGTGTGTAATTCATTATAATACATACATTTCACTGCAAGCTGCTAAAAGAAATCCCTGAGTGAAAACAGTCAGGCTGAACATCTTGCTTTTGCTGCCACCTGGTGGGGGAAAGCTAACACATGTTTCCTTCATTTCCAACTTGTTCTGAACAACCAGTTGTTTTGCACAGAAGCAATGAGGTTATGCGCTATTAAATGTGATTCTGCTGACATCTAAATATCTGTAAAGCTCCCAGGTCATGAAATATGTGTGTATAAATTGTCAAGTGCAATCAGGCTTCAGGGTCTTTACTATAAGACCGTGAATCAAACCAATCTACGTCTTGTATCCAAATATTTACTTATTTAAGAGGCTCTTTTCCTGGGCTCCAAAATCTAGCCCATACTTTTAAACATATACATACTGTATACGACATCTCATTTGAGCTCTAACTGTGTCATATTAAGAAAGTAATTCAATTGTTCTCCACATTCATTGATTTGTACAATCAGTACGTTGCCTTAATTAATAATCTTAGTCTTGAATTGCAGCTATGAAATAGACTAAAGGGCAATCACAGGGAACAACATGGACCTTTAAACAAACAATGCTCGATCATTTGCTGTGACATTTTATCAGCTTATTTCCCGTGTTTGGTTATATTAGTGCATGGTCAGGTTAACCCACCAGGTGGCCCTGAGGCAAATGTGTTCAATTTTCCTTATATTTGTGCCATGGTTCTGCAGCAGGTGGAGTGACAGTCTCAGCTGACTCGATATAACACTTTGCATATGAAACAGTCTTTACACTGGAGGTGATTGACTTCAGAAATGTCAGCATTACCTCTATCAGTCCCTATCCATAGTTTGAGTGCAGTTTAGTTTGCGAGTGTCTGAGAACCTATCAGAACAGAAAATGACACAGGCAAATTAAATGTCATAATATTGTTGAATAATTCAAAACCTGAGCAAATACAAACTCAGCTTTTTTCATTTTAAATGACAATAAAGATAATAGTGTTCCCCGTCACTCACTCTCTCTGTCTTTCTCTCAACATTTTATCAGGAACATCGTGATGTGAACACACGTGAAATAACTAGATTACTAAATTGTTGATAATAGTGAACAATGATTAGATTTGTTATTTTTGAAATGATGGATGTCACATCTTGTCTGCATCCATCAATCCAAAAATATTTATGGCACCATAAAACTGACAGATAAAACATATATTTCAAAGGTACAAATATCCTGTAAATATATAAGAGACAAGTTAAATTAGTTAATAGAAGCTGAATAAGAACTTTATATATCAATGGATTTCAAGGAATTCTTTGTGAGGAGAAAACGACTAAGTGAAATGATGATAAAGACTATTTAGATGTTAATGACTCCAGTCTGTAAAAGTGATTATTAAAACCTGACACGGATAATGACTTCAACAGTCCAAACGTTTGATGTATAATTCCTCATGTGATTTGAATTTAAATGGTCTTATTTAAATGATTTGATTCATGTGTAATGATAATGGCTGTCCCTTTCTCTAGATTATCTCTGCGTCTAATTGTCTATTTCTACATTGTGTGTAGTTTGGTCTTAAAATCCTATGTACATTAAAAACCTTTTGGCTTTTATATTGAATCAAATTGGTGTTTGTGGAAAATATCAAAATGTAAAGGTACAATATAAATGTCTAATCTTGTGGTGTTTCACTAAGAAGGTTTTATAATAAAAAGTAAACACATTGACTCTTACAGTTTCTTTTAAATTGAAAGAAATATTTAGCAGCTGGTTTAGTTTTGAATATGTTCAAAAAACAACAG